AAATATCATTCTTACCTGGCGAGACAGGATGATGTTCACTGACAAACTTCAACAGTTCTTCAGCTGCCTCTTCATCCCCCTTACTTTCCAAATACCAAAGACATGTTTTCAAAGTATAAGGATTTGGCTTCCATCCTGGTTTGCTTATTGAAATTGCTTTCTTTAATGTTTCTACTGCCTTTGCCATCTGACCACCAAAGTTATACCCTGTTGCCAAATGATCCCATGAGCTTGCTTCGAGCTGCATCCCACTCTCAACAATCTTGTTTACATATTCCTCAGCCTTTTTCCAAAGGCCCTTTCTGGAATAAGCTCTAATCATTGTATTTGGTATTCGAATATCATAAAGTGTCTTACGTGATACCCACTCCTCTGAAATCCACTCAGCCCCATCAATATCACCCAACCTCATCAATGAGCTTATCATACATATATATGTTGAGTTGAAAATCCTCCCTGTATTCTTATATGAATTCCATACACGATATACCCCATCTTTATTCCCAGCAGAACCATATAAAGTAAGGAGCATTTCATAAGCATGTGCTTTTGTGGTGCCCACTATTGGAACAGTTAATTCCTCTGCTCTCTTCAACATTGCTATAGATTTTTCTAATAGGCCAGCTTTTAAATAACCATTCGCCACAGCAAAAAAAGTATGGAAGTCAATATTGATGAGAGAGTCTGTTTCCATCTTCATTAAAAGTTTCTCCATTTCCTCAAAGTTGGAGGTGGCAACATATGCATGCAATCTGATGTTGAATGTGTAAATGTCACTATTAACCCCCTTTTCTTCCATCTCTTTCACTAGGGCCTCTAGTTTCTCATATCTTCCCATATGAGAATAGAGGCTTAGCATTACATTGTAAGAAAGAGTTTGTACAAGCCCCAACTCCCTCATCTTTTGCATTGTGGCCTCTGCTTTTTCCAAGTGCCTTTTGTGGGCATAGCAGTTTAAAAGGGCACCATAAACTTGGATGCCTCTCAAATGGTCAGGGATACTGTTATAATATTCCTCTGCTTGTTCTAAGCCATGAACTTTTGAAATCAAATCCAGCTGAACCGCAAAGTCTCCAGGTGATTGTTCAGAGCCCCTTTCATCACTCATCCATTGTGAAATCTAACACAAAATAGAATGAAGATTCAAAAATAAAGATTATACAATCGTATCTCACTTATCAAAGACAAACCTAAAACCAATTAAACCGATAATCGGTCTTGCTAAACTTTATTTTGGCCCCATTTAGCATATAAAATTGTTCAGAACTCAATATAATGTACATGCATGAAAAGCATGCAATCGAAGGTAAACAAATCGATATCATTAACCTCATTTACAACAAAATCGCATCTCTTTATTCTACTTTTCCTACAACTGATAATTGTGTTTATATTCGACCATATTAACTCATTATTTTATGCACCCCTAATGAGTGACTTTTAGATACCAAATTATTAGTGTAACCTCAAAAAATTTGGAAGTTATAATCTTTATATATACCTAAAACAAGTAATTCATGAAGCTATACCAAACCTTCCACAAGCTTTCATATTAGCCTATCAGTGAGCCCTTATACAGGTATATCCACGAACTTCAAAGGAACCAACTCATGTCCCTAAGTGAGTTGAGCTTTATATAACTCAAGCTAAGCTCATTTATCAAGCATGGCTCCTACTACCTCAACTTACAGTCAAGATAAGCATGGTTGTTTAATTACAACAAATATCAAGAACCATCAATATTATTAGCCAAAACATCATAACATCCAACAACTCAATTTAAAACAGCAAAGAAAAAGAAAGCCTTTTACAAAATCTCCTAGAAAAGTAATAAATCAAAACAGAAAAAGAAAATAAAAAAAGAAGTTTACCATTTTCATTAAGACCCAGAATTTCAATCTTTATGGTCTACACAAAAGAAAAATGCAAATGGATTGTTAAATATTGAAAGACCTGAAGGGCATGGCTAAAGCGGCGATGCCTGCGAAATAGCTTGATAAAGTTTTGAAGATCAGATTGTTTAATGGAATTGCCTTCCTTAAGCCATTGCTCTATAACTGGAATTATGGAGACCTTTGGATTTCCAGCCCTTGAAATCCTAAGTTTCAAAGAGTCTTTCCGTTGTGTACTTGTAGAAAAAGAGAGAGCCCTTAAAACTTTATAAAGGAAATAATAACCTTGGTGCTGCTGCTGCAGCAGCCATGGCCTGGGGTTTGATCTCGAGAGAAGATTCATAATCATAAGAGAGAGAAATGGGAGAGAAGATGATTGATGGCTTTCAGGGTTCTTTTAGGGTTTAAGAGGCCATTTTAATTTTAGTTTCAGTTTTAGGGTTAATGGATTGGACTTTAGGTAAAGTAAAAACCCATTTATCCTCTCTCTTATTTTTTAGTTTTAGTGTTAGTTTTATACAATGGAGAGTAGTCTCTCTGTATCTTCTTCTTTTTCTTATTCTTTTTATATATATATATATATATATATAGATTTTAAACGTCTTTACTCTTCTATCCTCCAAAAAGACTCACATTATTTAAGGAGCTTCCTCTTCATACTTTTTATTTTTATTTTTAATTTTTAATTCAATCCTCTTTTTTCTTTTTCAGTTTCTAATTTTTCATTGTTTTTTTTTTAATTTTATTCTTAAACTTCTTAATTGTTATACAAGTTACCTTTGAATTTATCAAATCAATTATATTACATAAAACAATTCACATATAATTTAATTTTAAACCCATATTTCATTAAAAATCTAGTTAAAATTTTTTCTACTTATTAACTTTATTTTATTTTTTAAAATTTATCCTGAGTTATGTTTAATCTATCAAATTAATAATGTTTAAAAGGCCATTTTAGTTTCAATTTTAGGATTAATGGATTGGACTTTAAAATATTGTTAAAAGGCTTTGGTACATGGTAGAGTTTGGATAAAAATTCATTTATTCTCTTTTTCTCTTTTTCTTTCTCTCTCTTTTATTTTTTAGTTTTAGTTTTATACAATGAAGAGTAATCTCTCTTGATCTTTTTTTTTTAATTTTAATTTTTTATTTTTATTCAATTCTCTCTTTTAGTTTTTAGTTTTTATTTTTTTTTAAATTTCATTCTTAAACTTCTTAATTGTTATATAAATTACCTTTGAATCTATCAAATCAATTATATTAAGTAAAAACAATTTATATATAATTTAATTTTAAACTCGTTTTTCACAAAAAATCTAGTTAAAAGGTTTTTTACTTATTAATTGTTTTTTAATTTCATCTATGTTTAATATGATCAAATTAATAGAATTACATTAGAATAACTTATATATAATTTAGTTTTAAACTTAGGAATAGAATTAATAATAATACCAAATAATTTTATACAAACCAAATATATTTTTTAAAAACAAGCGCGTGTCTACACTGATATTTTCACAAAAAAATAAATTAAACTTCTTAATTGTTATACAAGTTACCTTTGAATCTATCAAATCAATTATATTACATAAAAACAATTCATATATAATTTAATTTTTTTAATTTTATCCTAAGTTATGTTTAATCTATCAAATTAATAATGTTTAAGAGGCCATTTTAGTTTAAAAAATTGTTAAAAGGCTTTGGTACATGGTAGAGTTTAGATAAAAACCCATTTATTCTCTTTTTTTTTTTTAGTTTTATACAATGAAGAGTAATCTCTTTTGATCTTTTTTTTTTTAATTTTAATTTTTTATTTTTATTCAATTCTCTCTTTTAGTTTTTAGTTTTTATTTTTTTTTAAATTTCATTCTTAAACTTCTTAATTGTTATATAAATTACCTTTGAATCTATCAAATCAATTATATTAAGTAAAAACAATTTATATATAATTTAATTTTAAACTCGTTTTTCATACAAAATCCAATTAAAGGTTTTTTACTTATTATTATTTTTTTAATTTCATCCTCAAATGAGTTATGTTTAATATGATCAAATTAATAGAATTACATTAGAATAACTTATATATAATTTAATTTTAAACTTAGGAATAGAATTAATAATAATACTAAATAATTTTATACAAACCAAATATATTTTTTAAAAACAACCACACGTCTACACTGATATTTTCACAAAAAAATAAATTAAAGGGTGTTTCTCCATTAAGAGTCTGACCAAAGGCAGTTGAATACCAGATAATTGCTGCAATAGAAAATATTTTCACCTTTTACCGAAATCATGCATCATAATTCAGCGCTGTCATTATCTTTAACCTCGGAGAAAGCAGGTGTTTCTCCATTAAGAGTCTGACCATCACCTTCCAGATCAAGTGCTCTGGCATGGAAGTTTCCTTTTTTAGTACAAGGCTTTAATTTATCATACATAGCTGGAGAGAGGAGAAAATGTTCCCTGACTAACTTCGAAAGCTCTTCTTCTCTTTCGACAACTCCCTGACCTTTTTAACCCTGACGCATTCAGTCAATGCATAAAACTTTGGCTTCCATACTGGTTTACTTACTGAAATTGCTTTCTTTAATGTTTATACTGCCTTCACCAACAAGATATCCAGTTACCAAATGATCCCAAGAGCTTGGAGGAAGCTCCATCCCACTACAATCTTCTTTACCAATGCCTTAGCCTTTCTTCAAGGATCCCCATTGGAAAAACCAGTAATCATCAAATTTGGAATTTGAATGTCAAAGGACGTCTTCCTCGATACTCACTCTTTCCAAATTTCCTCAGCACCATCAAAGTCATCCAACTTCATCAGCGAGTTTATCATATGTTGATAGCCCGAGTTGAAAAACCCTCCTGTATCCTTGGACTACTACCATAAACGATATACTCCTACTCTATTCCAAGCAGCACCATATTAAGTAAGGAGAGCCTCGTAAGCAAGCCTTTTTGAGTTACCCCTTGTTTGGGTGATTATATGCTCAGCTCTCTTCACCTATGCTACAGTTTTTTCAATTAGTCCAGCTTTCAGGTAACCATTTGCCACAACAAAACAAGTATTCCAGTCAATGCTGATGAGAAGATCTGTTTCCATCTTGGTCAGAAGTTTATCCATTTCCTCAAAGATGGAAGAGGCTACATAAGCATTCAGCCTAATGTTTATACATGTCACCATCGATTCCCTTTTCTTTCATCTCTTGCACTAGAGCATCTAATTTCTCATGCTTCCCCATCTAAGAATAGAGGCTAAGTAATAAAATTATAAGGTCATGTCGGTACAAATTCCAACTCCCTCATCTTCTGCATCAGGGCCTCTGCCTATTCCAAGCACTTTTTGTGTGCGTGTCCAAAAGGGTACCATAAACCTGGACACCCCTAAAACGATCTGGAATCATTTTCCAAGCATTTGTTCCATACCATGAACTTTTGAAATTAAGTCCACCCGGATTGCAAAGTCTCTAGTTGATTGGTCATAGCCCCTTTCGTCACTCATCCATTATGATATCTAGCATAAAATGAAATGCAAGATTCTTGAAAAAATAACTAAGATTTTAAAATCATATTTCACTGATGAAGAATATTATATCTAAAAATACAAACGGTGATTAAGTGCAGCCACAACAAATATCAAAGAACCCTAAATGCTATAAGCCCAAAGATTTGTAAAATCCAACAATTCAAAACTAAAAGAGCAAGAAAAAGATACCCTTTAAGAAAAAAAAGCATGACTAGTACACAAAGAATCAAACTTTATACAATTTGCAAGCAAAAACAAAAATCCAACTATATGAAATACCTGAAGGGCATGAGAAAGGCTCTTTTTTTTTGTTTTTTTAAAAAAAACACTCGTTTTAAACCTATTTTTACCTAAAAATACTTAATAAACATCCTTATAATGTCAATAAACTAAATTATAAATCAAAACACTCCTAAACTTGTAAGAAAAACACAAAATCAAACTAGAAAAAAAATCTTCACAAAATCAAACCAGGTAAAGAATCTTCTCCCACTCCCGATCTATTTTTTAAGGAAAGGTGAAGGGCACAAAACAACTTAATGGAATTCCTCTCGTCAAATGGGATATTTTGACACCAAAAACAACTTTTTTGTGATTGAAGTGTGCCCAACTAATAACTTTATTTTTCCTTGCCATTATCCGATGATTTTTTCTCTCCTCTGTCAAACAGAGGGATCAAAATATGACAAATAAAGTTTTGAACCAAAACAACAAAGTGGAAAACTACAGGGACCAAAAACAATTTTTGTCAAATCTCTAGGGCAAAAAATGTCAAAAAGACAATGGACAAATAAAGGATTTAAAAAAAAAATCAATTTTTTCCTCCTTCCTTGCTTCATTCTCCAATCTGATCCCAAATGCCAAGAAAGTCGTCTGATACAACAATAACCACGTTGAAAGTAAATCAAAATAATTTTTTAGACTCGATGATGAAACAACAAATTGTCCAAGAATAAAATAACCGGAACAATGCTTTCAGAAATTAATCTGAAATGGGAATCTATTTCATGTTGGAGGCAAATAAGATGATCCAATTCTCATCACTTCAATCTATAATTCCAAATAAAGCTACTCTTCAACAGCTGAAATTAGTATTTTGCATGTTTTAAAGAAAGCGTGTTAAAAATTTACAATCCAGAGAACAGGTGGAGAGAACACAATGCGTGCAGCATAAAGAAGCATGAATGGATTGTTCTGTGCTGTTTTAATTAAATTCACATGCCAGCAATTCCAGCAGATGGCATAGCTTCGAATTGAGGATCCTGGTTTATGTACAGGTCTACAAAAGCAAGTCAAATGACAGATGTTCAATGAATTTATATAAAAATGGTCATTCCAAGGAAGGACTGGCCTCAATATGCTCTACTTTCATTAACATGTGCGAGGAAGATGGGTAATCTTATCCCTACTTCTATGCTTGCACGCCATAGTGACCACAACAAAAAATGAAAAAAACCAAGATGAAACTTCACTTTCACAAATGACATACTATTCTTTCGCAGTCAGTTTACTTCTCAAAGCATCATATTTCAGCACTATCTTTGTCTTCGAACTCTGTGGCAGCAGGTGTTTCTCCATTAAGAGCCTGGTCTTCACCTTCCATATGATCAAGGGCTCTGGCACGCATGTTTTCTTTGTCAATGATACTGCTGTTTAAACTGTCACAAGAAACTGATGATAGATGACAATGTTCCTTAAGTATCTGCAGAAGGTCTTCTACCTTTTTCACATCTCCCTGACCCTTCAAATACTCAAGACATGCAGCCAAAGTATACACATTTGGCTTCCAACCTGGTTGACTAATAGAAATTGCTTTCTTTATTGTTTCCGATGCCTTCAGCATCTGACCTCCTACATGATATCCAGTTGCTAGACGATCCAATGTGCTTGCTTCAATCTTGATCCCACTCGCTACAATCTTGCCTACAAATGCCTCAGCCTTTTCCCATATGCCCTTTTTGGAATAAGTACTGACCATCAAATTTGGAATTCGAATATCAAAAAATTTCACAATGGAAACCCACTCACCCCAAATCCTCTCAGCACCATCAACATCATCCAACTTCAGTAATGAGCTTATCATGCAAAGATAGCTCGAGTTCAAGGACCTCCCTTTAGACTTGTACAAATTCCACACACGATACACTTGTTCTTTATTCCCAACAGAAGTATATAAAGAGAGAAGAGTTTCACAAGCAAACCTTGCTGACTTACCACTGATTAGTTGTTCTGATCTCCACAACATTGTCAATGTTTTATCAATTAGACCAGCTTTCAAGTAACCATTCGCTGCAACAACATAAGCATACCAATCAATGCTGACGAGAGGATCTGCTTCCATCTTCATCAAAATTTTCTCGATTTCCTCAATGTTGGAAGTGGCTGCATAAGCATTCAACAAAATCTTGTATGTGATATTGCTAAAACAAATGCCCCACTTTTCCATCTCTTGCATTAATACCTGTAGTTTCTCGTATTTCCCCATCTGATAATAGAGGTTTAGCATTACATTATAAGACAACACATTTCTTACAAACCCCATCTCCCTCATTTTTCGCATTGTGGCCTCCGCTTCCTCCAAATGCTTATAGTGCGCATAGCAGTTTAAAAGAGCACCATAAACCTCCAAGCCTCTCGAACTCTCAGGAACGCTATTAAAATATGTCACAGCTTGTTCTAGGCCATGAACTTTCGAGATTAAATCCAGTCGAACTGCAACATCTCCGGGTGATAAATTATGCCCCCTTTCGTCACTCATCCATTGTGATATCTAACACAAAACAAAATACTTAAACAAATTCCAAGGGATCCAAAAACTTTAGGATGTTATACTAAATATCAAACATTAAGCTACTTGATTAAGTAGAAAAATCAGTTTCAAAATACTACTACAGCCTGCACAAAACTTTCAACCAAAGCTAATAAGGCTACTCAACAAAGCACTGATCTTTTCAACAAAAACTAAAACATTTACCAATTTGCAATGAAACCCAGAAATCCAATAGCCATAAAAGACAGATTGAATCTATACAAAGCGTCAAATGCAGATTTAACAATCAATAACTAAATGGGCACAAGCAAAAACACTAAAATAAGTAGATAAAAGAGAGAGGGACCTGAAGAGCGTGGCTAAAACGATGGGTTTTACGGAGTTTTCTGATGAAGTGTTTGAGGTCACTATTTGTAACCACTTGGACTTCTTGAACCCATTTTTCTATAACTGGAATAATAGGGACCATCGGATCTTCTACCATGGAGATCCTACGGTTGAGGGAGTGGGATATAGCGGTTGTGTCTGTGGAAAAGCAAAGAGCCCTTAAAACGCCATGAATGTGAAGGCATAAACTGGGGTTTGATCGAACAAAGAGGTTCATTTCATGGAGCAAAAACAGAGAAATCTTGAAGCTCTTGAGTTGTGGAAGGCTGTTTTGTGGGTTTTAGAAAGGGTTTTATTTGAGTAAATTATATTTTAGTCCCTATTCTAGAACACATTATGAATTAGTCCTCCATTTTGAAAACTCTATAATTTAATTCATTGACTCTTGCTTACTGTTGTTGTATGTAAAATATTTTGGTTTTCTTCTAAATTCTTACCATTTTGGCTTTTATATACCACTTAAAATAAAAAAAGGTACATTTACGATTCAGAAAAAATTATAAAAAAAATGTTTACAAGAGACTAAGATTTACTTTATATGTTTAAAAAAGGAGTGAATTGTAATTGAATTGACAATCCAGGAACCAAGGAATCAAAAGTATAAAAATACTTCAAAACAAGTCAATTAAGGCCAATAATTAAAATCTAAATAATAATAAAATTATATCAAAATTAATGAAATTATTAAATCATAGCCTTATATATATATATGGAATCATTAGTTATTGCCTTAAATATTATATTCGACTCTCTTAGCTGCATAAATATTCAAAAAAAAAAAATTGTTTTTCAGATGAACAGTGTAAAACAAGGGACTAATATTTATTTTTGTTATTTTTTAGAGTTTTATCAAGAATTTTCAACGATATTACTAAATATCAGTAATAAAAAAAGAATTAAGAAATAATTTTAGATTATTATTTATCTAGAAATAATTTTCTAACTATTAACTATTTAAAGAATCCATGAAAATATCTATAAAAAATATTAAATATATGTAAAGAAAAACTTATAAGTCTACAAATGTAATAAAAAAATTTAGTATCTTGTTTATTAAAGATTAATTCATTAATGTTTCCAATAATGAGAAAAAGGAGATATATAACAATATATTGAACTTTTTTTTTCATTATTTTTAGTAATTTTTCCTCAATAGTAATATTTTTTATTCAAATATTATTCCTACGTAGCATTTGATTGGGTTCTAAACTCTTGGAATTTTTCTTTAATTTTTACTGTCGTTTTAATATTTTTATAAATTGATACACACTTGCAATGTAGTTGTAAAAAACACTAGTGGAGTAAAGATTTAGCTTCCTAAGTTGCAGTGTGTCTCATTCTTGATACAGCACAAGCTGAGAAGCTTCCGAGCCTCTGTTGTTATAGTGGAGCTTCTGTTTCATGAGTCTTGCTCCATAGCAATGGTCATGCTGAACTGGTGAGCATCTCACATGGCAATAATGACCTACGTCATTGTGTCGCAGAGTTGACGTCATGTCTCTCGTAGTGGTGGCGAGGCTACAGCCAAGCTGAAGGCCGCAGCACCTTTACGAATCGCTCTAACCCATGTGTTGCGTAGGCATCCACCACAAGGTTTCCACACTACAGTTCCTAGCATAACTTAGCAAACAAGTAGATAAAGGATTTTGCTGATGAAAGCTTGTACAAATCTTTCCATTTTCCAGTTTAACCGAATCCACTCGTTCGGAGAGCTATTTATTCTACAGCAGATGTTCCCAGAAGACCTCTAGCGGAGAGGATTTACTGTCAGCCTATTTTGGATATTAATCTATCTGATTCAGAAGGGAAGGACTTGCATCAGTATTTCAATCCTGTTTAAATATTGGTTTGATTCGTGCCCGGTATTTTGAGAAATATTTACAATCTGAAAAAAAGAAAAAACAAGTGTCTGCCTGAAGAAATGCGTTGAAAAGGGGTAGATGTAAACAGCTGGTGGTCTCCAAACACATCCTGAAAGATGAAGTCAGTGTGTGTCAAAGAACTCGTTTCCTGATCAAGTTCATCCTAAATTTCATCCACAATTTCAGGTGTTTCTCCATTAAGAATCTGATCATCACCTTCCATTTGATCAAAACCCATGGTGTTCAGGTTTCCAAATTCAATACATGTCTTCAATTAATCATATATAGCTGGATCGAAATGACAATGCTTCATAACTGGCTTGGAAAGCTCTTCTGCTGCTTCCACTTCTCCCTGGCATTTCAGATATGCAGATAGAGCCTTGGTATTCGGCTTCCTTTCTGGTGTACTTAGAAATTGCTTTCTTTATTGATTCGGCTGCTTTCACCATCTGACCAGCAACACAGTATCCAGCTGCTAAATGAACAAATGAATCTGCATTGAGCTCCATCCCACTCCTCTCTATTATCCTTACAAATGCCTCATCCTTTTCCCAAAGACCCTTCTTTGAATAACCAGAAATCATTGCATTTGGAAAAAGAATGTCAGGCCATGTCTTCATTGATAACCACTCCTCCCAAACCTCCTCATCAGCACCATCTTAGTCATCTGACTTCATCAATAAGCTTATCATATGGAGATAGCTTAAATTATTGCCAGTATAAGCATACAAAGAGAGGAGATTCTTATAAGCATATCTTCTCTCCTTACCCTTGATTAAATGTACTGATCGCTTCAACATTGTCGAAGTTTTTTCAGTAAAGCTAGCTTTCAAGTAACCCTTTGCGGCAGAAACACGAACTTTCCAGTTGATCCGAGAATCTCTTTCCATCTTCATCAGAAGTTTCTCCATTTTCTCAATATTGGAAGAACCTGCATAACCATTCACCAAGATCTTGAACGCATTTTTGTTGCACCAAATTCCCTTGTCTTCCATCTCCTGCATCAGAATTTCTACATCCTCATTTTTTCCCATCTTGGAATTGAGGGTTAGATTCCAATTGTAAGACAACGCTTTTACTAGCTCTAGTTCCTTCATTGTCTGCGTCATGGCCTCTGCTTTTTCCAAATGCTTAGGGTCCGCATAGTAGTTTAAGAGAGCATCGCAAAGGTGCATTCTCCGATGGTAAGGAAGGCTGTAAAAATATTTATCTGCTTCTTCTAAGCCATGGATTTTAGATATTAAGTCCAGCTGAACCAACATTCCCCCCACTGTTTGTTCATAGCCTCTTTGCCTCATCCTTTTTGATATCTAACACAAAAAGGGGATGCATAGTCACATTTCTCTGATTAGGGTTCATATATTCAAGTTGATCGATATCAAACCTTTTAGTATATATCCACTAAAAACAAAATCCTCTGTACTTCATAATGGAGCTAAAGCACACAAGAAAACCAAAGAAGACCAAGTTTAAGAAAACCACAAGAACAACACTGGGCAGTCATGAATCATGATCAAGACCAACAAAGTACATCATATTCAACCAATCCATAAGAAAGGCTGCAGAGAAAATTCCAAAACCAGAATGAGCCGAGATATTTCAGGATTATGAAAAAAAAAGTTAGACAAAAAACTCAGTTTTCTTGGAACCCAGCAACCAAAAATCACTGCCACCTTAAACTACCAAACGCCAATTGAATTTTCCTTGTATTTCCCTTTTGAACCAATCAAGTGTTGTCAGACATGCGTAATGCAAAATAGTGAGTTTGTATTCAAACAGGTGCATGTCTATCTCTGTTTTTTTTTTCCTTTCATTTTTTAAATAGAATTGAAGTGGTCAAGTATTATTATATCCACGTTCGAGGTCAAATGTTTCAAGGCTGATTTATGATCTTTTGGTGTTACTGCATTGGAATTGGCCCATGGTCGACCTCCTTTGTCTCATTTTCCTCCTTCAAAGTCTTTGGTCATGAAGATAAAGCAGAGGTTTGGGTTCTCTGATTATGATGATGAGAAGCAAAAGAAAGATTTCAAGAACAAGAACTTCTCCATAGGTTTTAAAGACGTGGTTGCTTCTTGTCTTGATCAAGACCCTTCAAAAAGACCTACCGGTCAACTTTTAGAGCATTCTTTCTTCAGGAACTGTGAAGGATTAGGCTTTTTGTTCAAGAACGTTTCCGATAGGTTGCCTAATGCTGAAGAAAGATCAGAAGAAACCAAAGATTTACATTATGGGACATCAAGCCAGATTACTGCTGGTACTGATACTGAAGAAGAAGAAGAGGGTACTACCTCTGCGGCTCCGGTTGAACAAAGAATCAGTGGATGGAAATTTAATGAGGATGGATTCGTGCTTGACCTAGTATTCCATAATTAGTCAGAAGATGATCAAGTTGTGAAAATGGTTCGTTTTAGAGGTGAAACCATTATTCCTAAGCTGGACATAGAATTCAGTAAGTCGTCAGGTGACTTGGAGGGTTTAGTGGGAGATCATACTGGTGCAAACATGAGTGGAATACAGGGAATTATTGAGGGTTTAGTGGCTCTAAAGAAGACTTTGGATGAGCAGAGGAAGCGACTAGTGAGTTTTTTAAAAATGAATAGGCTTAACTCTCAAGTGCATCACTCAAGCTGTTAGTTATAGACTTTGCAAAACTGAAATTCTTGAGAATTTTCTTCAGAATCCCAGATATCATTTGATCTTTGCAGCAATTGGTGTCTGATGGGCTCTTAGATTTGTAATAGGCCTTGGCCTTACCAGATCCTGTGCAAGATATGAAAGGTGAAGATGGCAGAAACTGTAAAGAAGTAATGAAGCTGTTCAAATAGGAAGTACAAACTACAGTCTACAAAGAAATGAAACTACAGTATTTCTAATCAAGAAAAAGAAAATTAGAATGCTCTTCTGAAAAGGAATAGAAGTCCTATGTTAGTCATCATCACTTTAATCAATGTTGGCCATCATCACAAGAAACTTGGAATGTTGTTTCGAAAAAGAAATTCCTGCCCAATACCATTTAAAAAAAAGTTTCTTCAAGCTTAAAATCACTTCATTTTCTTTTGTCTCAACCCTAGCTCAGCTTATTGTATACTTTCATGGGAAAACAAGGCATACACCAAGACTGAGAAGATCAAGGACAAGAAGTCACTAACTGCCTCTTTAGATCATCGACATGCATGCTTCTCTTGGAAATTTTTTCAAAACTATTACTTATGCCGCACAAAGGAAAAAGAAAGGTGAAAATACTGAAAGTGAGACAGTTGATGGCATGTTGGGTCAAAGTTCCTTGTTTTCTCGAGAAGAGGGTTGCAGCTCTTGCCAAAGCATCAGGGCTAGATTCATTTAACATATGCAGGTTTATCAATTTATCTTCTTTCCTTTGGAATGCAAAAGTTCGATACAACCTAAGATGATGACAAATATTTAGTAACTAGATCTTGGGATAAACCTTGCGTTAATATTCATTACAGGATGAGTAAGAATACTCGGATGAATATTCTAATATCCTGCCTTTCCTTTATTTGAAGTGTCTCTAGATGATCAGTGCTAAGAAGCTCATGAATTGTGGGGGAAATGGCTGAAGCATTGCTGCTACTTGGGGAAGAAGGATCAAATTATTGCCACAGAATTAGTTGTGTTGAGTTCAGAAAATTGCAGCAAATGCAAAGAAGAGTCAATTTCTTGTGTGTAACATTATATTCCTGATATATGTAAAAAAACAAATGCTTGGTAATTCCATCATGTAATGTATGTAATGTATGGTATGTTGAATAAAGATGGGTTGTACATGATATATATATATATATATATATATATATATATATTTGAAATTGTGAGGTGTATTTTTTGCCATTATATACAATGTTATTTTAGTGGAGATAAACTTCTCCAATTTTCAATATAAAATTTATTATTTATGAAAAAACTATATTGACCTTCAAATAAAATCATTTTAAAAAAAAATAAAAAGGAGCAAAACATTAAAAAAAATCTAAACAAAAAAATCAACAAGTTTTTAACGGATTTCTCTTGGAGTGTAAGCCAACTCAAGTTTTTTCTTGGTTCAATTAGGTTAATTATTTTTTTTATTTTTTTAAACTCAAATCTCTGTTATTGACCTATCAATTTGATTGATGAGTGGTAACTCAACTCAAGAGTATACTAAGAACAAGGCCTAGATCACAAGTCATGTTGACTAATAAATCGGGTCAATATAAAAATAAAAATAATTATTATTATAGTTTTAAAATCTAACTTGAAAGTTAACCCTAGAGAAGGTTTAAGTTAAGAGTTAGAAATGTTAACTCGAATCAACATAAAAATAAAAATGATTATTATCATAATTTTAAAACACAATTTGGGGATCGACTTAAGGCAAGGTTCATGTTATAAGTTGAGAGGGTCAACTTAAATTGATTTAGAAAAGTAATTATTATGATAGTTTTAAAACTCAACTAGAAGGTTAACTTGAAACAAATCCAAGGTCACAAATCAGGAGGATCAACCCGAGTTTACCTAATATTTTCTTTAAAAAATCAAAATAACCTCATTTTAACAAAAAAAAAAAGGATCAACGGATTTTTACCTATGTTTTATCCTAGGTTAGCCAGGTCATAGATTTACATGAGTTTTTAACTAGTGAAGTCTAATCAATCCTTCCTCTATAATTTTTAAAATTTGGACTAGTCAGGCCCGAGGTATGTTAGGTTCTTAGTTGACTTATTAAATCATTTCAAGTTTTATAATTAAAATTATTATAATATTATTAATTTTAATACTTAATATAAATTAAAGTAAAAAAAATAATATATAATTATTTTTAAAAATATATAAGTTTGACAATAACATCTACTAACAACAACAACTATAGTAAAATATTTTTTTTATATATTTCACCTTAACTTTATATTTAAACATGTTTTTTAGATTTTGATTTAGAAAACAATATATGTTATAATCTACATTTTAAACATTAACATAAGACAAGATAAGATAGAAGTATTATTGTCATTTGTTTATAAAAAATAAACTAAGATAAATTATTTAGTTTAGTCCATTGTACACCAAACACAATTTTGCCTCTCCAATGTCTACCGAACACAATAAAATAAATTTTCCAATCCATTATAATGAATTCCAAGCATGAGGCATGACGATTATTTATCAAGTCTGATCCATTCCAATCAATACTGTGAAACATATCAAACACTATCTTAAATTATCTTAACACAGAAATTGTTAGAGCTATACAGTATACTGTCTTTATGGAATATACAACCACCGTGATCCGGCAGAATGCGGCTAAAGATGAAGAGAAAACATTGCCGAAGATTGTTGCTAGCAGTGGATGCTCATCATCTCTGTATTTTCATTAAGAAGTTAGAAATCAACTACTGTCAACATGTGGCTTTCTCAGATACATTACTTTGCTTACACAATAATAACGCACCCATATTTTCAGGCATTTCTCCATAATTTAGCACATCCCTCCTCTGCTACTGTCAATCTCTGTTGCAAGATATAAAAACACACCCTTCTTCGGCTATCAGACTATCACAATTTAGCACTTTCCTTCTATTCTGACATCCATATTTTCAGGCATTTCTCCATTAAGATCTTGACCATCACCTTCCATCTGATCAAGCGCTCTGGTGTCCATGTGTCCACTCTCAATTATAATCTTGAATATAATGGATGGAAATAGCATCTGTTTTTAGAAAGTAAGCTGGCTGAAATCTGGTTTGAAGAATTTATATTGGGAAGTTATTTGGCTAACCAGTAAGAATTCTAAATTACCAGATTTAAATTATACTTAAATTATTAAATTATTAGGAGAGAAATTATATTTAATCATGATTTTTAAAAGTATTATTAAAGTTGCTTTGAATTATATTTAATGAAAGCAAGTGTTTTCAATTTTGAAAAGGTTGATAAGAATACCAGACCAGGATATTATTTAAATACTTATGTGATTATAAATAATAAAAAAATAGCTCAAATAATTAAGAGATTAAATTTTAATTTATATTTTTTTAATTTATTTGAATTTTTATTTAAGATTGTTTAATTAGATCTTGACCCGTTTGTTTTTGTATTTCAAGTTTTTGAAAAAAATTATTAATGATTTTTTTTTTGCTTTAAATTATGTTTTTTAGTGTTTTCATATTCTATCAATATAATGATGTTAAAAATAATAAAATTATTAATGATTTTTTTTTTCTTTAAATTATTTTTTTTAGTGTTTTCAGATTCTATCAATATAATGATGTTAAAAATAAATTTAAAATACTATTTTAATAAATTTTTAATTAAAAAATATTTTAAAAAACAACCGCTATCATAAAAACAAATAAATAAAACTTGATTTAATTATTATTAAGTATTTTATTTATTAAACTATAAGCCTGATTATTTATTCTTGTTGAAGTTTTTGTATTTATATCCTATTTTTTCACATATTAGACAAAATTTGATGATTTAATAAAAATAACAAACTATTCCTCTTTTAAATTCTCTCTTCTTCCTAACTTTTCCTTTCCCTGTTTTAATTCTTGACTTCTTTTTTTCTTTGCTTTTAGTTTTTTTTTTTCCCTGCATCACTTCTAGTCTCTTTTTTCGGGGAGGCAGAAGTTTAAAGCAATATGAAATAGAGGATGTTATAAACAAATAGATGATCGTTCAAAAAGATGAACTTAGCAATCCAAAACAAGTTGCTTGTCCAGAAGTTAATCGTTCAAGGCGTGATCCTAATGCATTATACTGTCAGATCGTCTATTTAAAGCCCCATGGTCACTGGTTACACCTTTAAAATTTACCTGTCCCGCGAGTTGTAGGATGCTATAAACTTGGCAACTGATTTTCGTGATCAAAGACCCAAGTATCCTTTTGTGTTTCTTCGTCAACAGCAAAACCATCCATTTTCATCTGATAAAGAACATCGGTAACTGATTTTCCGGCTGCCATAAAGTTCCTAGTTTTTCACCAACCGGGTGAATTCTTTCATCTCTCCAGCATCTCCCTGACCTTCCAAGTACTCCAAACAGGCATTCACAAGGATGGGATCTGGTTTCCAGTCTCTTCCAACATTGACGGCCCTCTTCAACATCTCAATGGCCTTGGGGATTCGATCATGTTCCATATACCCCTTTGCCATTACATGCCATGTGCTCGCATAAGGTGTTCTTCCTTGCACTGCCTTTTCTATGGCTGCTTCAGCCTTCTCAAAAAGTCCCCTACTGCAATAAGCAACAAGAAGCCCGTTCAATACACGGAAGTCATACGTGGTGGTGCACTGGAACTCCCACTCTTCAAAGATCTTTTCTGCTCCCTCAATATCATCCAGCTTCGTAAGAGAGTCAATCATGCAACAATATGATGTGTCCATGGATTCACTCGAGGGCTTGTACAAATTCCAAATTCTATAAAGCTCATCCTTATTCCCTGTTTTTGCATGGAGACTCAAAAGAAAATTAAATACTGCTTTCTTCTTTCTCAAGGCCATCCATTTCTCCAGCTTCTTCAACATTGTCAAAGCTGTATCAATGGACCCAATCTTCAGATACGCATCAGCAGCCATTGCATACAATTTCCAATCCAGACCAAGCTCTGGATTCTCCTCCATCAAGTTCAAGATTCTTTCCACCCCGGAAATGTCAGATGCAGCAGCTGAAGCAGCAATTAGATTTCTCAGTGTGTATTTATCTTGAGCAATTCCATTCCTTTCCATTTCCTTCAGCAATGGGGGGATTTTGTCAAAGTCTCCGGTTTGAGAGTAAAGGATGATCAAGATGTTGTATGGAAAAGATGATGTTGTCATGCCCCCTTCTCTCATTTCCTGCATGACTGCTTCTGCTTTCTGCACAGATTTCTCTCGCACACAGCCATTAAGAATAGCACCATATGTGTACTTAGTTTTTAACTTAACCGAAAGTTTATTAAAGTAGTTCTCGGCCTCCTCTAGTCCACGAACTCTATGAATTAATCCCAATCTGACTGCTGCATCTTCCGTAGTAAATGTAAAGAACCGCCGGCCTGTCATCCATTCTGATACCTGAATTAATCATGCTCTCTATCAAGTTCCAATTTTACAGGAAGCATGTACATTAAACTCATCAAATTACAACTACACTGCCAACACAGAGGTGCATTTAACCATATCTTGAATCATGATATGGTCCAAGCTTCATCACGACAAAAATAATTGGCCTCGTGCTGACTTGCTAATTATATATCAGATCTTAATTATCTTATCTCTTAAAACTAGACATATGAAAAATTCTCAAACTTTTGAATCACATTGAGACTGACACAAATCCAATAAATGACATGTCGTCCGAAAGCTGAAACTTTACCCCAAATTCAGTTCCACCATGAATAATTCAACAAGGTCCCACAACAATCTCTATATTTTACTCAATGGGTACACATAAAACAATCTATAATGAGCAAAAAGAAGTCAAAAAAATGATGGGGATTGAGAAATAGAGACCTCCAAAGCATGTTTGAACCGTTTATAATCTTTCATGAGACGAACCAAGGACACAAGATGGTGTTTGTCAACAGGGTTGCCTTCTTTGACCCATTGATCAAGAACTGGTACGATGGAGACCCTGGGGTCTCTTATGGCTTCAATTCTTCTGCATAATGTAGTAGAGTGTGAAGAAGATAATGGTTTAGTTGGGGTTTTAGTAGAGAAGAGTAAAGAAGCTAAAACCCTTGTGGAGGAGATGGAGAATTGATGGTTTTGAGGAAGTAAAGAAAATAATTTTCTAGAGAAATGAAGCTTCATTATTATTTCTCTGAGTGAATGTTCTTGAAAGAATTGATGTTTGTATAAGGGCAAGGGAATAAAGGTAAATAGAGACAGGGATTTAACTTAGGGTTTAAGGCCAGGAAGAAAACCAATTTGGTTTGGTTTACGCCATCAAAACTCTGGATTAATCGTATATTTGAGGGTTGTGTTCTTGGCATTTTATTAATGTGGTCCCTGTATTATTTTATTTTTCTTTGGTTGGTCCCTTTACTTACAAACATTTATACTGTGTATTGTACTCTCTAACTAATTCCTGCGTTTTTTACGGCTAATTCTTATCAACTAGCCCGACAATATCGATCTAGTTACATGTCTGAGTTTTTTTTTTTTTTAACATGTTGTTAACAGTGAATTAAATGGAAATTTGAAGGAAAAAAATCACACGAAGAAACTTTCTTTAAAAGAAGGGACAATTAATTAATAATAATAATAAAGTTTTGTTAGGTGAAAGAGTCATTAGGCGGAGTTTAAGACTAAGAAGATATTTAACGTTGTGTTTTTATCCATAATTGAGTGTCTTTTAAATGTATTTGGCAAAGAAAACATCATATTAATGTTTTTTTAATATTTTTTTCTTATATAATCTTGATAATTGATGTCAAAAATAAAAAAATTATAAAAATATATTTTTAAATAAAAATTATACATCACAATACCAAACTGTTATTCCTATCTCCTATCTAGGTATTGATTTCTCCATGAAATTATTGAATCCCACTTAGTTCCGTAGTCAATTTAATGACTTGTAGTTTTATTAAAGATATATTTTAAATTATTTCAAATATTATTTTAGTCAAATTTAAATGATTTAGTGGGTTAATCTAATTAAATTTAAGTAACATTTAACTAGATTAACTTCAAGAAATTAAAAAAAAAACCTAGAAACAAAATCGTTTTAGATAAAATTTTGACTAGGTAATTCATAGGTTAAATTAGTTTAATTTAATAACACTGTATATTAAACTTGTATCATTGAAATGACCCATCAAGTTAAAGCAGGTTTAATATATCATGGATCCATTTATGTCATGGGTGGATACCTGGGTATCAAAACTATTGACATTTATTACCATAATAATTAATATATATTACATGTTCCCATTTCTATCACGCTAGTCCAGCTCTTGAGCAATCATATGCATAGAAAATAAATGAAGGAAAAATGTTTCAAGGAGGTAACCATATTATGCATTGTCAATGCTATTCTACTCCACCTTGAACTGTACTCTTCATTTGCCAAAGTAATGGACTCAAGCACCTGCAGAAAGCAACAGTACAGAATTAGAAATATTCATTAATAATCTTAATTTCTTCGGGAGTTACACTATAATAATAGAAACTTACCTTCGCGTAGGGAAACGTTTTCATGCTGTCCACGGATCCTGGTTCCAGAAAGGATGTCCCTAACTCGATGCAATTCGGCCACAACAATGTTCATATCCATCCTCTCTCGTGGTAACTCTACAGAACAAGCAACTCCTATCTTGATAATTGAAATCAGACAATCCAGGATTTTTCCAGTTTCAATATGGTTAATCCTATGAGAGGAATGGATACTACTTTCCACATCTTCTCGGAGAAGTATTGGTTCCACGACCTCCGAAACTCGGCCATGCAATGCCATTTCAGCATAATTGTGAAGGTTCAGCCCATCTTTAAACATGCCGTCTGTAGGTCCTTTTCCTGTGAACATCTCCAACAACAGGATGCCAAAGCTGTACACATCCCCGTAAGTTGACACATCGCTGCCCACACCATACTCTGCAAAATTCATATGAACAGATGCAAATAGTTGTTTACCGCCTTAGCTTAGATCATAAACTGAGAAAATAGAACTAGACACTAATGAAAATACTTCTAATCGCACCTGGTGCTGCATAGCCGATGGTGCCTTTCAAGCCAACGGAGCTGGTCTGTCCCGAAGATAATTGATGGGAAACTTCTGGACGGAGCCTCGCTAATCCGAAGTCCCCCACACAAGCAGTCATTTCAGCATTTAAAAGAACATTGCTGGGCTTCAAATCACAATGGACAATAGGTGTTCCGCAGTGTTGGTGCAAATAGTTGAGCGCATTAGCCACATCAATTGAAATATTTAACCTCTGAATGAGATTCAAACTTCTCAGCTCTTGTGCGTTGTTTGGATGATGAATTGGGTGCAACCATTCTTCTAGACTTCCATTGACCATGAGCTCGTAAACCATAGCCTTGAAATCATTTCCTTGAAAATCAATGCTAGAGCATGCACTTACTACTCCAACAAGATTTCGATGCCTGATGTTTACCAAGGCTGCACATTCTGCCATGAAACTCCTGGAAGCTCCTCTGCGTAAGAGGTTAAGTACCTTCACTGCAACAGCCATTCCATCCGGAGGAAGGATTCCTTTGTAGACTGAACCAAAACTGCCAACACCGATTAAATTGGCCGAAGAGAATCCATTAGTTGCTAGAAGGAGATCTTGGTAGGCTACTCTCCTAAATGGTATTCCCCATGAAGATGTACTAGAAGCCTGCTTATCTTTTGTTTTTCTAAAGAAATAGAGAAGCATGGAAGAGACCAACAAGATTACCACGAGCAAGCCCCCAGACATTGCGACGATCAATATCCTAGTAGAAGATTTCAGCTTTTCCGACTCATTGGTTGTGCATCTGGACAGATTCAACTGAGGTATACCTCCACAGAGCTTCTTGTTTCCTGCAATGGAAATCACACTTGTATTGCCAAAGACACCTTGCGCGGGCACCTGACCTTCAAGGTCGTTAAATGACAGATCCAGACTCTCTAACAACTTTAAGTCTCCCAAAAACCTGGGAATTTGGCCACTAAAGTTGTTGTAAGAGAGATCAAGAACTTTAACTGCTCTCAAAGGACTCAGAGACTCAGGAATGGACCCTTCAAAAAAATTACCCTTCAAACTCAAAAGCTCTAAACTCGCGCAACTACCAAGACTATGGGGAATCTCACCGGATAACCTATTTTTAGAAACATCTAGCTCCCCAAGATGCACCAGATTACCCACTTCCAAGGGAAGAGAACCTGTCAGATGATTTTCAGATAGGTTTACGGAAAATGTTCCGGAAGGGATACTTAGTAATTCTCTGGGTATGGGACCGCTCAAATTATTATTAGAGAGACCCAACTCCAACAAGTTTTGGCAATTTCCAAGATTCGATGGGATACTTCCATGTAAATTGTTGAGTTCTAAATGAGCAGCAATCAACGACGTCATATTGCCTACAGATGATGGGATACTGCCTGAGATTTTATTTTGATCTAGATATAAATAACCTAAATTTTGTAATTTACCAATAGAACTTGGTATCATGCCGCTCAGTTGATTTGACTCCAAGCCCAAAGCAACAAGGCTGATGAGATTTCCAATCCCATCTGGAATTGCTCCACGTATTTGGTTTCTCCCAAATCCCATCAGCCTTAATTTTTTGGAGAAGTTGCCTAGTGTTTCAGGAAGTACCCCTCCTAAATGGTTGTCAGCTATCCCAAAAATTTCCAAAACGGTGTTGTTTTCCAGGGGGTAGAGAAAACTCAGGTCATCGTCCTGGCCACTTCCAAGATCATTGTAATCAATTGACAGGTGCCACAAGTAAGGCAAGCTTCCTAGGGTGGGTACTTTCCCAGTGAAGAAGTTGTCTGAGAGTTCAACATTAGAGAGATTTGAGGCATTAGAGATCGTCATGGGAATCAGTCCACTGAAGCGGTTTGTGTGAACTATAAGGATTTCGAGATTTGGAAGCGTGTGGCCCAAGTCAGGAGGCAGAGTCCCATGAAGTTGATTCATTGGCACAGCAAAATTAGTAAGAGTAGAGAGATTGAATATAGAAGGAGGGATTGTACCACTCAAATTATTGATACCGAATGAAAAGATTTGTAATCTTTTCAATCGCCCTATACTATTTGGAATAACTCCTTTCAAATTATTCCCCATCCCACGAATTTCTACGATAGATGAAAGGTTTCCAAATGAAGGTGGTATTTCGCCGACCAGATCATTCATTTTAAAATTGAATACTTTCAATTTTGATAATGATTCTAGTCGTTCAGGAAGCTTACCAGTGAGATTGTTGCCCTCTAAACGAAGGGCAAGGAGATTTGTGCAGCTTGAAATGTTAACAGGGATTTCACCACTAAACGAATTGTTACCTAGTCTCAACATTTGTAGCCGAAACAAATGACCCAGTTCTTCAGGGATATTGCTGCTCAAGCTATTGTTTTCCAGGTTCAGTAGCCTAAGGAAACTCAAGTTGCCAATAGATGGAGATAGGCCGCCCACCAGTTTATAAGAGTGCAGATCAAGCTTTACAACTCGCTGATGTCTGCGTCCACATGTAACACCAGACCACTCGCAGAAGTGGAAGGATTCGTTCCACGAGTTAAGTGCACCAAAGGGATCATCTGTAATTTGAGCCCTGAAAGCTAGCAAAGAGAGTTTGTCTGTCTCATTTCCTCCATGTAATGTGAAGGAAAACGAGTGCCCAATCACTTGCAAGAAAACTATCCACAATATGCATGAATTCATGCTTGGTAGCTTTCTTTAATTAAGTATTAAAGATATGATTAAAGTGATTCTAAGTTTATGTATACACACACACACACACACGGAAAGTGCAAAGGTAAATGGCAATATAATTGTGCCCGCGCAAATAATCAACAGCTCGAGCCCACAATGATGTTAAGTTGTACGCAATTTTCTTGGTGCCATTAATGTTGAATTCTGTGAAAATGAAGGCCGAGTCCCTTCAGCACGTTTTCTACCGTGCAAAAGACTGCAAGGAATCTCCGGTTAATGTGGACCAAGATTTTCAGGCGGTCAAACTTGGTTTCCAAATTTCACTCCCTTGATTTTCAAACTTTTGCAGCTAAATCTCAGACAGTAAGATATTTTAGGTGGAATTCAATGCTGTTATAACATTGTGAAGACATGAATTTTCTAGACCTTTAAAGGAAAATATAGAACAGGAACCGCAAAAGCTACCGGAAAATCTAGAACCAAGGTGCTAGACATTTCTGTTCATTAATACCTTTTAATACTCTTTTTTTTTCCTGTTATAATATTGTATCTTTATTTTATTATTACTCCCTTT